ACTTTTCAAATACGATGGATAGAGGATGGATAGATGTAAAAAGCAGCCAGGATTAACCTGAACAAGCTAACCTGAATTTTAATACATGCAATCTGTGAGGCTGAAGCTGCTGCTGTGAAAGGTTTAGAACTAGAACTGCTGTGGATGAAAGCCTTTTATGTTAAGAATAGCTACTTTATTGCCCAATAATTGCACAGTAGGCATTAAATCAGGAACAGAGTTCTCTTGCTCTTGTATGTACAGAAATGGCCTTGCATTTTACATTTAATGCAGTACATTACTTTTTTTTTTGTTGGCTCAATTCCCTAATGGTACTAAGGGAAGAAAAAAAATATGGCTGGCTCTACTAATGATGCAATGCATAAAACCCTATAAACATTTCCTCATTTGCAGTCTCCCCCCCTGTTCCGAAAGGCAGGGAGGTTAAGAAACTTGTGTTTGTTCGTTTTTTTTTTTTTTTTTCTTAAAACTGCTATCTTACCTTCAGCAGTTTCACTGCACATATCAAATTACTGTCCACAGGATAAGAGAAGAGCGCATTAAGTAATTCCCGAAGGCCTTCTTGAAGAATTTCTGCTCGCATCACCTGTCCCTTCGTTCCTTTAATCTGAAAAACATACATAAACATTTAAAAGACTTGAGTTTTAGGTTTAGTCACATTTTCTCTATTCAGTGCTTTATGATATGGTTTGCCATCAACACGGTTGAGGTCTTTAGCTGGAACAATAACTATGTTAGAACAGACTTTGAGTAATACCCTTACAATTCTGACATATACATAACAACGCACGTCTGGCATTTTGCTTCTCTGCTAGTAAATTGCTAAGAAAAGCTACCAAATGCCTGGCAAATGGTCCACAAAATCCCAAACTCCCAGAACCCCATGCTCTTTTGCAGACTACATTATGTATTATCTACAGCTGTAGTAGCTTGCTTCTAGAAGGCACTCCTCACGTATTTTAAAAAATTAGCAACAATGTTTTAAAAATAAATGGTATACTCCGCAGAACTGGACAATTCGCCCACCCCCGCACCCAAGCCTTCGCAAGTCTTACTTCTAGCCAATGAAAAGCACATTTCAAGGCCCACTTATAAGCAGAAATGGGAGAGTCAAAGAATTATTTTCTGTCCTTATGCCAGCAGAACATTTTTATAGTACCTACTTATATCAAACTATTGAAATAAGCCAGTCAAAAAAAATTTTAAGCATACTACAGTAGTTGTTGAATTTACTGAACTCACAGGTATGAGAGTCAAAGACGTTTTACATATACATACACCTTTTTTGTACATATCACAGAAAAAAAAAAGAGAAAATCTAATTACAAGATTTCATGCTTCATGCATAAGCCAAAGACTCAACCTTCAGAAGAAATATCTTTAAAGGTCTGCATTCTTAATTGCTCATTTTGAAGATTCCCACATCTTCCTCCTGGGTTTGATAATAGCTCCTACTGGGGGTTGAATAGTGAATTACAAGGGTTATTGAGCCTCACCTGGCTAAATACTAATAACTAAATATTATTAGTTTGTAATATTTCCCATGTTGGTTAAGTGCAGTCATCTGGGGATTTTGCCAGTCAAAAGAAAATACCTAAAGCTTCATTCCAAAAGTGGTTTACGGTTGGTTCTTTTCATGAATGCTTAGACTTCTTTTTTTTTTTAAATCCTCACACACTTCTGTTCTAATGCCCTTATCCTTTTTTTGTCTGTTTCTTGGACACACATAATGAAACTTCTAGATTTATTTTACTATGTGGCACTCTGCCTTCAGAAAAACACCTCAAATTATATTCCATTTTCAGTGTTTACCTAAACACACCAAAAAATTAATGAAGAACCACCTGACCTGTAGCTTTCTTCTTACCTCTAGGTTAAGGTAAAGTTCAGCTAAGAACAGCACAAAGGCATGGAAGTGTTTTCGAGTATTCTCATCTCCTTTGGTAGCTCCATCTCTGTTTTCATACTCTGTTCGACATCTGTAAACATTAAAACATTATCATATAATGTGTAGACATCCCAACATATATAAAACATGCTACTTATTTAAGAGAAGCTAAGAACTTATTAACTGCATTAAAGCTGTGAAATGCTGAATGCTGGGAAGTATGATTTGTTAAGGAAATGAGGATTTCACAAAGACAACATGAATTTGTGTCCTTGTAGATGAACATAGACAATTACATGATTATGTTTTCATGGACCAAGATACCTGAAAACAGTAAAATTAAATAGAGCAAATCATAACATGTAAAAATTAAAAGACAGTTACGCAGTTCATATATTAGAAAAGGGGTCCAGGAAGTCTAACATGGGCAGCCAAATGTCCACAGAAATAAAGCAGGTTATACTCTGAAAGACATTTTTTCCCTTTCAGGGTGCTGCCCACATTGCCTTAGATGCCTTTACACTTACTCAGTAAATTCTTTATCTCACCATCAATGCATAATTTATGACATCAAGCTGTGTGGTGTGGTTGATACTCTAGAGAGAAGGGATGTCAGGCACAAGGAACTGGACAGGTTTGAGATGTAGGCCCATGTGAACCTCATGGAGTTCAACAAGGCCAAGTGCAAGGTCCTGCACCTGGGTTGGGGCAATCCCAAGCACAAGGACAGGCTGGGTGGAGAATGGATAGAGAGCAGCCCTGAGGAGAAGGACCTGGGGGGTACTGCTGGATGAAAAGCTGGACATGAGCCGGCAGTGTGTGCTGGCAGCCCAGAAAGCCAACCGCATCCTGGGTTGTATCAGGAGAAGTGTGGCCAGCAGGTCGAGGGAGGGGATTCTCCTCCTCTACTCTGTCTTTGTGAGACCCCACCTGGAGTACTGCGTCCAGCTGTGGAACCCTCAACACAGGAAAGACATGGACCTGCTCGAGCGGGTCCAGAGGAGGCCACGAAGATGACCAGAGGGCTGGAGCACCTCTGCTATGAGACCAAAGGCTGAGAGCTGAGAGTTGGGTGTGGTTCAGCCTGGAGAAAAGAGGCTCTGGGGAGACCTTATTATGGCCTTCTAGTACTTAAAGGAGGCCTGTAGGAAAGATGGTAGGGGACACTTTATCAGGGAGTGTAATGATAAGATGTGGGATAATGGAGTTGAAAGTGGGGAGGTTTAGATTAAATATCAGGAAGAAGTTCTCTATGGAGAGGGTGGTGAGGCACTGCACCAGGTTGCCCAGAGAAGCTGTGGATGCCCTGTCCCTGGAAGTGTTCAGGGCCAGGCTGGATGAGGCTCGGAGCAACCTGGTCTAGTGGAAGGGGTTGGAACTAGGTGATCTTCAAGGTCCTTTCTAATGGATGAAGAAACTCTGGAGAAACTGAAAAATCTAAGGAGCTTAAATACAAAATTTAAGGTAGAAACTTGGACTGAGAAACAGAAGAGGAGCTCTCTGTGGTCATATTGTTAGGATGTTTATTTTCCTAACACCCCCATTTCCATCCACATTAGCAATAAAAACATAGTCAACTTTAAATACATGTTTTTTGGGTGCTAAAATTAATGTTATCTATTGACCTGGAGTTAAAAACCAGAAACCAGATAATCCAGCATTAATAGGGATTTCCTCCATGTTCAAGTGACAAACTTAATTAAAAAAACCCACCGGGTTCCCAATAATAGTGGGGCAATCTTAATTGGAAACCTAAAAAAAAAAAAAAAAAAAAAAAAAAAAATTCAGCTTCTGCATAAGGTACCACTCCTGATAAAAGATCATCAGAATGCCCTGCTGTTAAGTTTATCATGCTTTTGTTCCTGAACATAGGTGGACTAAGTGAAACTTTTAAAAGAAGCAAGCCTAAAGGTTAGCAAGCCAGAAGTCCTTAAAAAATAACCTTTTTTCTTTAAAGAATTCTTAAATATTAAAATGTACTACTCCTTCAAAAGATTCAAAAGGAAATATATCAAATTTTTAAAAAATTGCATTTTTGTCAACTATAAAGTCTAATCATTATTAAACCATAAGCCCCCAGAACTCTGTAGTAACTGGAAATTGAAAAAAAATATACGTCTGGATTTTATGTATCTACTTCATAAAGTCAGTTAGCTGATCAATGAATAACACACAGCACCTCCATCTGGAAAAGGAAAGGATACAGTGAAATAAGTCGTGTCAAGAGTCAAAGGACAAGGATGGTACATATATGTGCAGTTAGTATACTTTTAATGTTGACTGGCTTTCAAATTTACCCTGTAATTTGGCATCAGCCTAAGATACTCTGTACAAAAGAGCCTACAGAACTTCAGGTTAAGTCCTACTTCCATACTTAAAAATACTAAAATATTTAAAAAGATATGTATTTGAGATCCACTATGTACCTGTGCTTTAATAATCCTCAATCTAAACTTCTATCTTAAATAGACACAACACTAAGAATTGCATACAAAACAGGAAGGCATGTAACCTGAGAAAGTAACAGGCTCAGAATGACATGCTGATACTGACCTCTGAAGTAACAACTGTCGGAAGTTCCCACTTTGAGGACTAATGGTTAGATGGTGAGACAGATAGTTACACAACCGTGCTCCCATGTAGGAAAAATTTGGAACAGACGTGGCCTTCCAAAATAAAAGTGGAAAAACAGATTATGCATAACACTCAGGATTAGACTATCAGGAAATGGCTTTAAAAGCTTTCCTGAAAACTTGTGTTTAACAACAGTTAGAAGATTAATAATTACTATTTGTGTCTCATCAACAATTTGCTATATGCATTTCAGCACTTAAAAGTTCATTATACTGTGATTTTGAGGCTTTAAGAAAACAACCACCATTATTCCATGTGTCCTCAACTCTGCTTCTCCATTGTGATCTGTAACCAAAGATTGTCTGAAAGTAACTCAGAACTTGTTTATACAAAACCAACCAAACAAAAATCAACAGTAGGCATTAAGACACTTTTTCAAGGACACACACTCTACCAGGGAGCAATAAATACATTAAACCAAAATTTAAAAAAGCTGCCTTCATTCAAAGAGTTATTTATCCCAGAATCTGTTTCTCCATTGTGATCTGTAACCAAAGATTGTCTGAAAGTAACTCAGAACTTGTTTATACAAAACCAACCAAACAAAAATCAACAGTAGGCATTAAGACACTTTTTCAAGGACACACACTCTACCAGGGAGCAATAAATACATTAAACCAAAATTTAAAAAAGCTGCCTTCATTCAAAGAGTTATTTATCCCAGAATCTGTTTT